AAGACGTAATTTTTTTCTTTATTTTCTCTGTAATACTTAAAGCCTAAATTTTAAAGTATTTCTCCTTTAAGCCCCCTGCACGCTGCTGATGGATTAGTCTTCTTGCAAGCGTGTGTGATCGGGTCACTGTTCCCTTGCTCGACAGTTCCCCATTGCTGTCAAGATAAAAATTCTAAACTGAATTTTCTTCCACCTGGCTCAAGATTACCAGTCCAGATTCATATCTCATGACTGAAACTTCTCATTCCTTATCTTACATACTTCCTAAACACACACTTTTTTTTTTTTTTTTACTAAACAGACACTTTTCATTATGCTATTTTTCACCCTCTGAGAGTGTGTTCTTTCTTCCAAACCCAGCCTCTTCTTCCCCCTCTGGCTGCCTAACTGAACCTGTCCTCGTCTGTCAGACCTCAGCTTAAATTCCCTTCTTAGACCAAATTCTCTGTGACTGACCACAGCCCAAAGAGCTCAGCCATTCCCTGAATCCCCGAAGTTCTTGTTATCTTTATAGTTCCTTAGATAATTCTTCATGTATGTACCTCACTCACACTTCTTTTCTCTTAAATAATTGTGTTTTTTAAATTACTTTTCACATTTTCTTTTTATTATCCCCACCCCCTCAAACAAGATTTTAAAGAACCTTGAAGAAGGCAGAAAGAAACAAAGAAAATTCCTTATCTGGAACCTCCTATGTGTTGCACCGTCTCAGGTGTTTTCCATACTTCATTTCATTTAACCTTTAAATAACTCTGAGAAAGATGGAGTAATCCTTGATTTATAGATAAAGAGAGAAATTCAAATGCTTTAAGCAATTTGCCGAATGTTATGTCATTATTAGTGGCAGACTGGGAATTTATACCCAGGACCATCTGATTCCAAAGCATATGCTCTATTCTGCCACCCCCAAGCTGCCTCATGTCTTTATATTTTGATTCCTTTACAGCAGAGTGCTGCTGTATGTGTCAGCAGCTCAGTAAACGCTTAACCTATATTGGGCTTCTTGGTTCTTTTCCATGTCAGTTTTTCAGTTTATTAATACTTCTACCAGAATGTAAGCAGAGAAGGTAAAATCTGAGTTATTAAATTATGCTTTATATCAACTTTGCAAAAGGTTTAATAAGGAAAAAAATTGAAACTTTCGGCATAAATATGGGAATTTAAATCATCTCTAGTTGGTTATCATCCATGCAGTTCCTACCTCCTATTCTTACAGATTACCCCTTCCCCCAAAAAAGGCCTCATTGGAAAGTGTTATTCTTTAGAGTTTCACTTTAGTTTTCAAAAAATGCCATCCAAAGCAACAGAAAACATAGGCCATGAATGGTCTTCGCCAAAAAAGTGTTTCTTCTTTTGTGACTTTTCTTAAATTTTTTTTAAAACCCACACAGTTCCTTTTTTCAGTTAGCTGAAAAAGGCATTAAAGAAGGAAAGAACCCAAATAGGAATATAATTATCAGACCAGTTTAGTCTGTAAGATCAATTTTGATAGGTTCATAGCCTCTTTTGTCAATAGGAACGTCGTAGACCTTCAGTGTATGAGATTTGCCACTTGTCATTTAAGGGTTACAGCAATATTAAAACCAAATTCTATTTTTTACCTATCCTACTCCTTTCTCCAACTCCTCAGTTAGCTATCTAACCTCCTAGGGTCTGCTACGTCAGAATACTAGAATGTCTTAGAATTCTACTACAGCAATTCAGAATAGTCCAGAAAAAAGGAACAGGATTTTAAAAAAGAATAAATAGGGGGTATAATAGTGAAGAAACTGGCTTTTTTTTTCTAGTTCAGAGACAGTGAGGCCAGTGTTATTACCAATGCAGAAAGTTATTTAACATATGTATTTTAAATATATATATAAGCCATGTATACCTGAAATACCAACATTGCTTCTGCAGGGAAAGAGGGTAGAAAGAAAGAACCATATGGGGCAAGGGAGTAAAAAGGAGGAGAAAATATTGGATTAAATGAAATGAAAAAGGAATACAAAGAAATACAAAATAACACAAAGGAGAAAAATAAAGCAAAACTTAGAGTAAGCAGCAAATACATGGAAAAGGGGAAGGTAAATGGATTAGAGAAGGTATTGAAGAAAAGTTAATAAAAAAGCTGAAGAATAAATAGTGATTATGCATTTAGCAAGAAGTTAGGGTGGAAGGTTAAAGTGAACAAAATTAGACGTTGGGGGAGAAGATTGAAGTAGAAGAAAGAAGGAACCACAAAATGCTGCTCTCCGTCTTTGCGGATACAGGGAACCAGCAAAGAGGAATGATCTTCCCAAAATGGAGGATAGGACTTAAATCACCCACCTTCTCAAACTCACTTACCTTTCATTTCAGGCTCTCCTATCTGTTCTAAGTATCCTTAAGATTCCCCACCTCCCTTTTTTTCCTGGCACTACCCAGAAGCATACTTGTTAATTACTCTAAATAACCTATGCACAATCTATATAGCATTTTTCTAGAAATCCCTTAGTCTGCTGCTCAGGGAAACCCTGAATTTGTCTACTTTTACACGGCAGTATTTTGCTCATTATTTTAGTTTTGGACTTTGAGGTTTAAGTCTGTGATTTTGGTCTAGAACATTTTTTAAAAAGAAAAAAATCAGCTGTTTTAACTAAGCATTTTAAAGGCAGTTATAGTGAAGTAGGAGTCCCCATATATTAGACATGTTCTCATAGATATAATGCATAAGTACATAAAGGATTTAGCATTTAAAATTGATGCTAAGTTGGATATGATAAGAGAGATGTCGTTGTCTTTTAAGGGGAATCAAGGAGATTTGGATAGCATATCCTAGACAAGGCAAGTGTAGGTAGCAGTATCAAAAATATCATTTGAATTTCGGTTACTTTGATATAATGTTATAATAGATTAAAATATAGTGTACCTAAATTTTATTGTATCTCCAACTAGTAATGTTATAAAACCAGAGAAGGAAGAACACAGCAGTTCCATATCTTGAGGAAAGGCAGAAAGGGAAATTAACTTTGAACTATGATAGGAATTATTTGATGATTATTTTTTATCAATAGTAATAGCTACCATTTACTGAGTACATGCCAAATGTTCAGCACCATCCTATTTTAATGAGCAAGGTGATGTTATCATCATCTTACAGATAAAGCTGAGGCACAGAGAAGTTGGGTAACTTGCCAAAGTGTCACAGCTCTAAACAGTGGCAGAAACCAGTCAGTCCTGTACTAGAGCTCTTTCCTTCTGTTACATTCATAGTAAAATTATGAAATAGGAATGCTTTATGAGGGGAGGAGATGTGAGCTCTCTGGGAACAGATATGTTAGTAACTTTTGGAGTTAGTCTTGTATAAAAGGTTGGACAAGAACTACCAGGAAACCATTTTAGTCCTGTGACTATGAAAACAGCTCTGGGAGTTTTGAATGGTTAGCCTATAAGCTGTCATATTTGAGGTGATTTTTAAAGATTGGACATTGATAGGCATCAGATTTATATTTAACAATTTCAGACTTATTCAGAATTCATAATTTCCTTCTGAGTAGAATTATATAGGCATTAGTTGAAAAACACAAGCACTATTAAACTCTACATTTGAGACTGACCCTTTAAAAATATATAGACAGGACGTCCCTGGTGCAGTGGTTAAGAATCCGCCTGCCAGTGCAGGGGACACGGGTTTGAGCCCTGGTCCGGGAAGATGCCACATGCTGCGGAGCAGCTAAGCCCGTGCGCCGCAACTACTGAGCCTGCACTCTAGAGCCTGTGAGCCACAAATACTGAGCCCACATGCCACAAATACTGAGCCTGCGTGTCACAACTACTGAAGCCCACATGCCTAGAGCCTGTGCTCCGCAACAAGAGAAGCCACCGCAATGAGAAGTCCGAGCACTGCAACGAAGAGTAGCCCCTGCTCGCCACAACTAGAGAAAGCCTGCACGCAGCAACAAAGACCCAGTGCAGCCAAAAATTAATTAATTAATTAATTAATTTTAAAATATATGTATATATATAGACAAGTCTTGCCAAAAAAAAGAGATACAAATCTTTATTTTTTTAACTTCTGTAGTAGTTACTTAGAAGAAATCCAAAGTGGACTTATATGAGGGAAAGTCGTAAGTATTTAATGAAATGTTGAAATAGGATATCACCACCCACTTTATAACTGTTATATTACAAGTCTATGTAAACTCTTTGCAGTTTTTATTTTGGAGGATATTCACTTTGTAATTGTCCAGCTTACTTACAGAATAAGCATCTTTTCTCCATATTAACAACTTTCTATTCTGTGGGTATTTTTTTCTATATCTATTTTACACTGTTTACCAAAGACTCAGATTATAATACATGACATAAATATGTAGATGATATGAGTATATATATACACATTTTATCATAGCAGTTTTCTCTTAGTTGTAAAAATGAAGGATAATATTTTCATGTCATCATTATTACTTAAATTTAAAATTCTATTTGTGTGAAAAATAAAGCATATATGATGATAATTGAATATCTCATCTAATCACCTTTGGGTTTTTTTTTTTTAATTAGGCGAAGGTGACCATTCTTACCATGGAAACTAAAGGGGTTTAAAAAGTAAAACTAATTTAGGTCTGTGGATTATGCTTATATACAGGAGAATTTTATAGACAGCAAATCAGAACTTTTAGCAATTGGTATTTTGGGGTTGTAAATTCAGTCATATCCCCATGAATTCTAGTTTTATTTCCAACCCTTAGCGTTTTCTGTCGTGGCTATAGATTTATTTCTTTTAATTACAGAGCTAAGGTCAACAAACATAGTGAATCAATAAACTTTAAAGGGTTAACATTATAGAAACCTAGGTGAAAATTTTTTTTTCAACACTGAATTTTTAAAATTCCATGCAACAAAACCACAATACCTGTTATAGACATCTTTAGACTCTCAGACTTTAAGTTTAAAATAATAATGAAATTTTAGTTTTAAAAATAAATTCTGTATAAAGCAAAGATCAAACCAGATTACCAGTGTGAAAATTGTCTTACCTCAGCTGTTAACTTGTTTTGCAGAATGCTGAATTCTTGTTCTAACTGGACATTTTGGTCATTTGGCTAAGAAAGCAAAAGGGGTGGTTCAGTTCAGATTAAAAATGGTCCTTTAGCAAACTGAAATGGTTTCTGTAGAAAAAGAGGAAGTTTATCAATAGTTGGTTCCGGAAGTGCAGTAAGCCACAAAATGACTAAGAAATGTACTACTTTAACAGAATTTATTTTGAAACAATTTGGAGCTACATGATTTGAGTGCTTTTAATTAACATTTAGAGGTAAACATTTGAGACTCTCTAGTAATGTGATTATATAATTTAAAATAGAACCTTGGAGAGAAAATTATATGTTGTAAGGAAAAACTGCCAGTCAGGTTATTACCCATAGTGAGATTTCTTTTCATAACAAGTGAATGATGTATCCTGTTTTCTTGTATGACCTTAGGCAAGTCGCTGCACTTCTGAGTCACCATTTCCTCCTCCGGAGGAGTATTTCTATTATTGAGTTTTGTGAGGATTAAGTAAGATAACATAACATGTGTAAATGCCTTACACACAGTAGATACCCAGTAAATGTTAATGTTATTTCCTCATACATAATTTAGGCTAAGCCCAGGTAAAAGTGTGATTAATTTTTGACCAAATACTTTCCTAAATGATTTTTGAGTTCAAGTCCACAGCTCTTTGGTTACCGACAAAGTAAGTGTCGGTGCAAAGTAAAATAAATTGGGAATCATTTTTTAAATAAGTTAACTAATAAGCAAAGTATGTTGAGAAGAGTATGAGTCAGTCTGAATACAGATTTCTTTGGGCATGTCACCTTCTAGCCTCTTTCCTCATCTGAAAAATGGAGATCATAATTCTTAATTTATAAATGTATTATGGAATTAGATAAGTGTAAAGTGCCTAGCATAGCACCTATTATAGTAGATACAGTAAGCATTAAACCATGCCCCGCTTTCCCCTGGTCACTGCAGAGGAACACAGATTGTTAAGACCTCGTTCTTGACTTCAAGGCACTTAAAACTTGGTACAAAAAGAATAATTTTTTTTAAATATGCTATAAACTTATTTTATGTAATATAATTTGCTATATATATAGTATACAATATGCTATAAACTTTTTAAATATGGTATAAACTTTTGTTTCACTATTTTTAAATCCCTGGATTAATAAGCATGTGGACCATAGCACCCCAAGGGTAGAAAACAAAAGTGTCTTAGTTCAAAGATAACTTTTAAATTTTGAATTCAAAACATATCTTAACCTATCATCTTTAAACACTGGTCAAGTTGGGAAAGGAGCCACTTTTCATGAGCTACCATTGGATACTGTCAATCTGAGTATCTGTGTTTAATAGCCAAGATAGTGAGTGATGAATTTTAAATATTCCTGCAATAGCTTTCTGTTTTGTGAGAAAATGTATGTTGAATAGGAAAGTAGTTGTCTAGTTAATTTCTTCTTTTTAAAAAGGCACTAATTTGTTTCAGTTTACTGACAAGTATTTATATATGACACTTGATTCAAGGACTGCTTTGTGTTGTCACTGTTTGTTCTAGTACACAATCTCAGATTTTTTATTTGCACAGAATGGGAGCTCTGCCCAACCAGTGTCCTTTCAAGTCTGATCCTTTTTACCCCTCAAAAGATAACCTGATGTACCACAATCGGCATGAGTATTCTCTTGCTTTCCTTTTTCCTTTGTTGATGTTTACCTTTTTCTGAAATAATGTGGTTATGATTTGTTATTTAGGAAATGGATTTTTTATAAATTGGTAATAAATTGATAATAAAATTGATGCTTTTTTCCCCCCCTCTCATTTTAAGAGGTAACCTTAAAAAAAATTTAACCTAGATCTTTGGAGCTGTGGAAATTTTAAGAATTGAATTTGATGACCAAGAGCAGTGACCTAGGGAATTATGCAAAAATTATCAATGCCTGGAGCTCGAGCTCACCCCATTCTAATTAAATCAGAAGGAAGGGGTGTGACTTAGGCACTGGTGAGTTAAATTCTTCAGGTGATTCTGATTTGCAGTCGGGATGAGAATCACTAACCTAGAAGGGAGGGTAAGATGGTGGTAATACTTGGAAAAAATATATAAAATCTTTTCTTAAATGTCTAGCATATTGCCCAAAATAAATGCTCAGTAAGGGATGAGATTTTTTAAATGTGGTCTGATCTTTAATTAAGTATGCCCTGTGTCAGTTTCAATGGACATTTGGAAAGTCTCTCAAAACAATTTTTGTAATATATTGAATTGATGACGGAAGTCTTGACCTAAATGTAAGTCATTATTTTACTTGAACCCAGTTTCTTTAAAGGTTAAAGAATTACCTGAAGTATCCTGTTTTCCAAATTAGAATAAACACACACACACACACACACACACACGTCTTTCCTTTGCTTATGTCATATTGGATAATAAATAAAATTGGTCATTTATTAGTCCACTTGGCATTCTCAAAGTCCAAAAAATAATCAGCCTTTGGATATTTGCTATAAATAATCCAATAAGCAATATTTATGGAGTAGAGTTATGTTACACTTAAACAGTAAGATACACTTTACATTTACACTCAGCCTTCTGTTGTGGCTATAAATCTCATCTGTTTCAGTTGATCTATTTCTTATTGATCTTGACAGTGTATTCTCTAAAATAATAAAGTGAATGAAAATGTACGTAGTCACTTTTATTCTAACAAGTCTTAATTTATTATACAAAATTTAAAGTTTTAATTAAATATTTAGAGTAGAAAACCACTTTCTTATGTGTGCCATATATAAAGATGAAAACATCTAGCATAACATTAGCTGTGTTGATAGATGAGCTGGTATGGATTCTGTCACATTCAGCAAAGAAAGTACCACGTAACTACAGTTCAACTCTATGCATTAAGAATGTGACTTCTGTTAGATGTTAAAGCATATACTTGCCTCTAACGACACACTAAAACTCTTCAAATTTAATAACATTCGGACAAAGATCATTTAACTACTCTTGCTGAACAGGAAATATTTAATTGTCCCTTTCTACCTGTATTAGTCAGTTCCTTCAGCTTGTCTTTAAAACCTTCCTCAGATGCTTGGTGGTTTTATTTTTGCTTTTTAAAATAGTGTCAGACACAGTTTAAGTAATTAAGTAAGCAGGCATACTTCTCCCCTTCTCACCTGCTTGATTCTAAATTGCACAGCCTGCCATGTTAAATTTTAGACCATCAGAACAACACCTTGGCATTAAATATCAAACTGACTTCATTTTTACTCCAGAAACTTTCTCATTGCTACTTTGCATTTTTCTTCACTAAAGCATATGTTAGTTGGTGAGTTTTTCAGTTCCTTCTTCATCTTTTCTTTCCCTTGTAGCTGTGAGCACTCCAGTAGATTGCATCATTAGGTTAGGCCCTGTGAGCTGTTTTGCTCTTTTCCAAGTGTCTGATTCAGCAGGCCATAGACCACTGCTTGCCAGAAAATCGCCATTGCTTCTAGGCTGACGCTTGCCTACTTGTTTTGATCGTCTGAGAGATGAGACTTTGTTTGCCAGAACCACAGTTGATAGAAATAAAATTGTACAGATAAGAAAAAGCACCACAATTATAATTAAGCAAACTAGCATAGCCATTTTGTTGTTGGTTTCCTCGCAGACACCTTTTTTGAAAATTTCGCTGTGACTTTTGCTTGTGTTTTCAACGCTATGTACTGCTGGAGAACTGTTCCTGACAACGGAAGATATATAAAGCTCCAGTTCAGATTTAGGAGTTAAAGATGCCATGTGAGATGATGTTGCTATTTCAGGCATTTTTGTAGAAATAACTTTTTTATCTACTTCAGGAGTTGTAGGGTTTGTGTTAATGTTTTCATTTTGGCTTCTGCCCATCTTATTTTGAATATCTGGATCCAAGACAGTAGTATTATTAGCCCACAGATGGGTATAGTTTGCTTTTGTTCCAGGAGACAAAGAAAAAACTGTTGTCATCAGAAAGGCAAGATGCAGGTAATGTCCTGTGTGTTCCATGTCCGTGAGTATACTGGTAATCTGTTGGGATAGCAAGAAAATTTGTTAACTTGTGAAAGAATAACGGTTCCTCGTTTCGGTAATTGTAGTTAAAAGATAGACAGCTGATAATGTTATAAATTAGCTGCAAGCTCATGCCTAACATTTGCTATCCTGTTTGAATTCCTTCTGAACTGATTTTTTTTTTTCTGTTAGGCTACATATAAAGAAACAATTTAATTTCTATTAATTGTTTAAATGCTAAAAGGTAGCATTACAGATATCTACTAATCATTGTAAACTGAATACCGTGGTTTTATAGTTTTCTCCCTCTTAAGCATGCTAGACTTCAGCTTTGAGTCAGATACTTCGGCTTTTACTTTTTTGATTCCTCCTTTTTTTTTTCCTGACCATTTAAGGAAACTCCTTGTAGAAACTCCCCATCCTCCAACAAATGAGTCACCAGTCTTTATAGTAAAGGAGAAATGGGACATTTTGCTTCATGTATGAAAAGAAAATGCAAATGGCTTTGTGGTGATGGGAGGGGGGGCAGTTCAGGAATGGGGAAGTGTGGTAGCAACCAAAAGAAAACGGACTTCAAGTAGGAATTCAAGATGTTGTTTTTTCTTCTTGGGTGTTTATCTTGAAGCTTAGGATAAAGCTGGTACTTAGAAATATATTCCTAGTAGTTGTGAAAGCAGTTTTATGGTGGTGGGTCTCCCTTCACCTCTATATCCCCCGACTTATTGTGGCTTTCTGAAAGCAAAGGCATGCGACTTTTCTCATCCTAAACATTTGGCATTAACAGAGAAAAAGAGGCAAGTTTCTTTTGAATAATCGCAAAAGTTCAACAAAAATTATTGACTTTTTTCATTATTGTTTATGCTTAGAATTTTTCTGTGAATATTTTGACATAATTTTTAAAAATAAATTATACAATAAAATATTTAATAGAAATAAATACAACATCAAGATCAAGGGGATTTTAACTCAATTGGGAAGTCAAGGCAGATCATGAGTCTCAACCTATAAAGGAAAAAGTGGAATTTCAGTTTTGGCTCTGAGCTCTCTGGAAGCCAGTCC